GTACTGGAAAAAAAAAAATCGCGTTTTTCCAGGATTTCCATGACATTCCAGGACGCGTACGAACCCTGACCTTCTACAGTGAGATGCAGTCGTCTTCTATCATGACAGTCTCCCTTCTACAGTGAGATGCAGTCGTCTTCTATCATGACAGTCTCCCTTCTACAGTGAGATGCAGTCGTCTTCTATCATGACAGTCTACCTTCTACAGTGAGATGCAGTCATCTTCTGTCATGACAGTCTACCTTCTACAGTGAGATGCAGTCATCTTCTATCATGACAGTCTACCTTCCATAGCGAGATGAAGTCATCATCTATAATGACAGTCTACCTTCTACAGTGAGATGCAGTCATCTTCTATCATGACAGTCTCCCTTCTACAGTGAGATGCAGTCGTCTTCTATCATGACAGTCTACCTTCTACAGTGAGATGCAGTCATCTTCTATCATGACAGTCTACCTTCTACAGTGAGATGCAGTCATCTTCTGTCATGACAGTCTACCTTCTACAGTGAGATAGTCATCCTCTATCATGACAGTCTACATTCAATAGAGAGATGCAGTCATCTTCTATCATGACAGTCTACCTTTCATAGTGAGATGCAGTCATCCTCTATAATGACAGTCTACCTTCCATAGTGAGTTGCAGTCATCCTCTATCATGACAGTCAACCTTCTACAGTGAGATGTAGTCATCTTCTATAATGACAGTCTATCTTCCATAGTGAGATGCAGTCATCTTCTATCATGACAGTCTACCTTCAATAGCGAGGTTGACTCAGTATCTCTCTATGTTATCTATGCTGATGGTTATTTCTTACTGAGAATTATGGGAAACTCCACTCCACACAAAAAACTAAGATGCTATAATCCAAATTTCATATTACTAAATATTAATTGATCTCATTTAAAAATTGAGACAACATAAGCTAGAGCCAACGACTTACAGAACTATATCCAAAGTACACTTCTGACAAACACAAAAGGATAGAAAATAATTCTAGAAAACTATGCACTACTTTAGTTTGCTGTAGCCCAAAATACTTTAACAACTTACAGCATTAACTACCTCCAATATAACACACAATGCATTATCAACTAATTTTATTTCTTATGTAGATATACAAATTCAATATTACAGTAATTCTCCTTTCCCACAGAATAATCTTCACAGTATTTCAAAAACATAAAACATTAGTAAGTCAGAAGATAATGACACTACAGTTGTAAATACATTATTAAATCATGTTATGCTTACTATAGTCTTTATTTTCCGTGACTAAACTGTATGAAGTTGTTTCTTATTTTTAGATTAATAAGATTAACAGCAAATGAGACATTACCTGGGAAAAACAGAACATTTTATTTCAGATGTACGTACTGTTGAATCTACACTGACACTTCTTTTAACTACATCAAAAAACAATTATTCCTTGATATAAATTGAAATGTCTTTCTTCTTAGGTTTTTTTTTCCTTTCATGTTGTAAACTAATGGAACAGAAATCTTCAAGATATTTGCTGGCCATGGTACTATTTCACTTACAAAGCTGCTGCTCCAGAAATGATCTCAATCAATTCTCTGGTGATAACAGCCTGTCTTGTACGATTAAAGGTGAGGGTGAGCTTGTCAATCATTTCACCTTAAGAAAAGGAAATAAAGTCAGATTCTTAACATAAAGGAACATTAACTAGAGTACATCTTGACAGTCATGATCACTTTAATCAATGTAAGTTTGATAAAAAAAGTATGCAAATTAATCACACATTTAGAAATTCCCTAGATAATAATGAATTTTTAGGAAATTTCTGAACAAAACTTGGTATTCAAGTTGAAATGTCTCATCTTCAGAAAGCAGCAGTTTATACTATACACTTCCTAATGTTTCCACCAGGGAATCTCTAAAATAAGGGAAGAATAATGCTGCTAACAGTACTAGTGTCACCTATTGTAAAGTTAGTAAAATTACTACATGTTACTCAAGTAAACCTATATACCTGTAGTCACATATTTTAACTTCCAGCAAAGAATCTATTATAACTTCCATGATTTCAATTAAAGTAAAATTGGTAGTGTCAACTAGTAGTCTCCAATTTTAATAAACCATTCTTCTCATAATGTTTCACATAACAGAGCTAATCACAATTAACTATGTAAACAGTGATAAATAAAACCATGTAGTAGTTAACATACCTCTATTCAATATACACACACACATATATATATATCAAAGTACATGATATCTTTCCTACATTAGATTGCAAAATACATATGCTGTTCCTTACACTGTAAGCCATGCTTTATTACTGACAGTTTTTACTTTCTCACAAAATGGCAACTGCTTCCTTTGACTGACAGTGGTTTTACTTTCTTACAATGTGGCAACTGCTTCCCATGACTGAAAGTGGTTTTACTTTCTTACAGTGTAGCAACTGCTTCCCTTGACTGACAGTGGTTTTACTTTCTTACAATGTGGCAACTGCTACCCTTGACTGACAGTGGTTTGACTTTCTTACAATGTGGCAACTGCTACCCTTGACTGACAGTGGTTTGACTTTCTTACAATGTAGCAACTGCTTCCCTTGACTGACAGTGGTTTGACTTTCTTACAATGTAGCAACTGCTTCCCTTGACTGACAGTGGTTTTACTTTCTTACAATGTGGTAACTGCTTACCTTGACTGACAGTGGATTTACTTTCTTACAATGTGGCAACTGCTTCCCTTGACTGACAGTGGATTTACTTTCTTACAATGTGGCAACTGCTTCCCTTGACTGAAAGTGGTTTTACTTTCTTACAATGTGGCAACTGCTTACCTTGACTGACAGTGATTTTACTTTCTTACAATGTGACAACTACTTCCCTTGACTGACAGTGGTTTTACTTTCTTACAACATGGCAACTACTTACCTTGACTGAAAGTGGTTTTACTTTATTACAGTGTAGCAACTGCTTCCATTGACTGACGGTGTTTTTAAATTCAGTTTATAGGTAGATTATAAATCAGGTTATATACACCATATTATTACTATCAATATTATGTAAACATCAAATAAAGACAATTATTGTTGTTGTTTTTTTCATAAAAATAATATAAATCTTATATTCACTGAAAATGTTCACAAAAATTTGACTTTGTAAAACATGGCCATAACTGATCTTATCTGGTATGTTACATAAATTAGGTTATCATAACTTATTTGTTAGTCTGTGATATTGTAACACACGGCCAAAACCGATCTTATCTCGTATGTTACATGAATTAGGTTATCATAACTTATTTGTGAGTCTGTGATATTGTAAAACACGGCCATAACTGATCTGATCTGGTAGGCTACATAAATAAGATTATCATAACTTATTTGTGAGTCTGTGATATTGTAAAACACGGCCATAACTGATCTGATCTGGTAGGCTACATAAATAAGATTATCATAACTTATTTGTGAGTCTGTGACATTGTAAAAAATGGCCGTAAATGATCCGGTAGGCTACATAAATAAGATTATCATAACTTATTTGGGAGTCTGTGACATTATTAAACATGGCCATATCTGATCTTATCTGGTAGGCTACATAAATAAGATTATCATAACTTATTTGTTAGCCTGTGACATTGTAAAACATGACTGTAACTAATTTAATAGGTTATATAAATAAGATTATCATAACTTATTTTTGAGTCTGTGATATTGTAAAACACGGCCGTAACTGATATGGTAGGTTACATGAATACGATTATCATATTCTATTTGTCAAAATATGTGACTTTATAAAACCTGAATGTAACTGATTTGATTTGTTAGATCACATAAAAAAAGATCATATCTTACTTGTTAAAGTCTGTGACTTTATAAAACCTGAATGTAACTGATTTGATTTGTTAGATCACATAAAAAAGATCATATCTTATTTGTTAAAGTCTGTGACTTTATAAAACATGAATGTAACTGATTTGATTTGTTAGATCACATAAAAAAACATCATATCTTATTTGTTAAAGTCTGTGACTTTATAAATCATGAATCTAACTGATTTGATTTGTTAGATCACATAAAAAAAGATCATATCTTATTTGTTAAAGTCTGTGACTTTATAAAACACGACTAAGTAATCTGATTTGATAAGTTACATAAAAATAGTATGTTATTTGTTAATCTGTACAAGAATCTGATTACCTCTTGATGCTTGTCAACTCTGTTACAATTAATGAAATGCAGCATTTTTGTTTTCAGCCCAAAACTGCAAACACTATCTTTTGTTTAACTTTAAAAGATTTACAACACATCCCCTAGTGACAAGGCTGGAAATCTGCTGGGGCCTACATACTTTAACAATAAACATGTCTTGTAATTTTGTCACCAGTTTTAAAACTGGTAGTAATTGAAACAAGAATGTGTTATGTCAACTTCGTTTCTTACCTGCATTCTTAGTGGCTCCATCCATGGCCGTCATTCGAGAGCTCTGTTCTGTGCAATAGCTTTCCTTCATGGCAAAGAAAATAAGGCTGGCTAAGGAGAACTCCTGAAAGCTTTGGAGTACCTCAGCATCAATACTGTCATATATGCTTAGCTTATCCGCTGATCCAATGGTATCGACAGTAAATATGGGCATATCACTGGTGTTGTAAGATACTACTGATCTGTAGGAATAAAAACAAGCTCAGACAAATCACAAATAATCTTTAAAATACCTACTTCTATACCTTAAGAAACAAATTGAAAATCTAGATCCTTACACAACTATTTTACACAAGTTCTATTTCATTGTTCACTTTCAATTTCTATTCAACTTTAAAATTTGGATATCAAGTATTTTTACAATATATAGCCACATTTACACCTGTTCTTAGTAGTTGTGTATACACAAAAAGCAATTATACATTGTATTCAAAAATGTTTTCAAATAAAGTATCAGTGACTCTAATAGTCATAGAATATATTTCACAATTACAGACTCTACAAAGAGCTAATAAAAACATAGTTAGCAAAAGTGTTATTTTCTTTTAACTATTAAACTACACACCATATTTGTATTAAAGAACAGTTGTACACTAGGAAATATATCCTAAAAAAGGGTAATTTGAAATTATTTTTCAATTGTTTTATGGTGGTTGCAAGATCAGTAAAATCTACTGACCCCCTATAGATTTATAGTATAGAAAATAACATAAAATATAAAGTTTTTCTGAAAAACAACAACATTTGATATCTATTTAGGAGGTTTTAGATGAAATTTTAAAATTTTCAGATGAATAGAAGTATTTTAACCTTAATATGAAAAATCACTTTGCACTTTCAGCAGTCAACACACTAACAACATGTACCATACTGGCCCAATTATAATACAATGTTTTTTGATTAATAATTAGACTATAAAATTCATAGCCACCTTATAACTGTGGCCAACCACAGGCCTGTTCTCACTACTCTAGCCTATGTCCCATTCCTGAATGTCCAGATAGCATCCATCTATGCATGCACGCCATATGTTCACTCAAGGAGTTATGATGCAAATCTTAAAATATCCACAGAGAGTATTGTTCATGGATTCATGAAATGCCACATTTCAAATGCCATGGACGGTTCTGAGGATGAGATTTTGTGGCAGTTCACACCTCAAGAAAACACAGGAAGTAGCTAAAGTGAAGATGACATTAGTATTGACAACGAATGAACATTGAAATTCCACATACCTTAATTATCTTCCAAAATACTTGTAATGTTTTCATATTCATTTGAATTTACTGTGGAATAAATCAATTGTGTATTCTTTATTGAAATTTTATGACACTCAATTTTTTTCTTTTCCATGGTTTCTGAAAATGGGGGTTGCCTTATATTCGAGATCGCCCTATAATTGGCAATATGGTATTTGTGGGAAAAGTTTTAGTAAAAATACTTAATTAAAAATTTTGATTTATTTGTCTACAAAAGACTTTTAATGTTTACTGAAATCTTGCCAAATTTCCATTAAGTACTTTCAGAGTCATAGTATACATACCACCATGGTTACATGGTCGTGTAAAATGCACGAGCCTGTTGCGATAGGATTAATAGGATAACTACTTTTATCTGTTTTACTGGTTAGCTCACATCCTGTGTAGTTCTTGTTCAGAAAATTAGATTAACAATCAATGAAAAACTATTCTACTGAGCAAAAAACTTTAATAAAACCAAAACTAGGAAATGTATGGATTTATTCCAAGCACAAGGTGATAATTACATATTGTTTAAAAATATATGTAGCCCACGATAATTTTTTTCCAGTAATACCTTTATAAAAGTAATCTCCATAACATTATTCACAATACTATATGAACTTACTTGAATGTGTTATATATAATGATTCCATTATCAAACTCAAAATCACTCTCCAAGACAGCATTAGCTACTTCAGTGGCATTTTCAAATGTGGGTGGTTTCTTTCCATACTCAGAGAACACCATCATAATGTTTTTTCCATATTGCCTGCATAAAAAGTAATCAATTGTAATATAGATGAATCTATTCCTTCCTAACAGTATGTCTTAACTTCACTGTATCAAGAACAAAATGTATTTCTATAAATCTTGACAAATTCTCAGAAAAAACAGTCAGCTTGAAAAATAGTAGTTTAGAACTGAAAAATAAGAGAAATAAAGGAAGCTATTTTAAATGCTGTCAGTCAGTATATCATTAACTGGCCAAGAAATTTACATATTCAATACCTGTGATATTAACCAATGTTCAAATAAGCCATATTTAGATATTGAATCCATGTGGCTGTAATACTGATTTTGGCACCAGTGCTCCTTAACATCTTCTCTTTTCATAAACTCTTTTTTCTTTACACATTTTATCTACAGATACTCTGATCTAATACAGAAAGATTTCTTTAATCTTACAGGTCACACAAGTCCCATTGAATCTTGTTCCCTTTTCTCCTAGTCAGAAATCATCATCATGGCATCATGTTGTTAGGTTAAAACACTCATCTTTCTTCTTCTATTTAACTTTCCTCCATAGTTAAAGATGGTATTAATTCTACAAGTTTATTTATTTATAACCATGTTTAGTTCATGTGAATAAAATTCTTCAATCTATTATGCTTTACCATAAATTCTAAGTTAAGAGAGAAACAGATAATACCCCAAACTAAACTACCTCTGTAACATGGTGCGAGACTTGTCTCCTAAACATATAACACGAATGTCTGAATTGCTGGCAGATTGTGATATTAAAGCTTTGATTTTCTTCGACACACTACTGTTAACAGCTCCACACAACCCTCTATCAGATGTTATGGCAAGTACCAAAGTCTTGGGCTTATCTTCTGCAGCTTTAATTTCCGCCTGTTGATAAAAAGCTAGAGAACAGAAACAATCAGCTTATTGTCAATGTTTGAAACACCTCATAGTATGCTTAATATAGTTTTTCTTTTTATTAACTGTAATAACATTATTATATTTTAATTAGAATACAAATATTTTGGCTCTTTACTGTACAATTAAAGTATTCATTTAATTTTTTATTTTGTATCTTCATAAACATTAGTTTTTGACTATAATATTGGGATTGCTCTGCTACTTGACTCCATGCATACACAGTAACATGTTAATCTTAGCAATTTACCTCAGATGTCAGGCAACTCTGAAGTTACAATGCCATTTAATAGGTTTTCATTGGTCACAAGACGTTTTTAGGGATAACTGTTTAAAGTTCTGCTTATATATGGTCATCCTGATGTTATGTTGCTGAGTGGACATTAAACTGATGACAGTACTTGAAGCTAACAACTATTGTCTTTAAAGTTACTTCCATTGACAATATTGGATAAATTGTTTAATATATATAGTTTTATTATCTGTAATTTTTCATGACTATATTTTTACCATAAAGCTTATTTTGCATTATTAATTTAATATATGAATTTAGGACTAACCTAAATATCCAAACTGGCTGAACCTCATAAGATACTATTAGATTTATGACAAAAAAAAATACTGTTAACCCTTTCGAGATGGATCATTTCATCTCGTTTGTTGACTCGCATTCAAAATTTTATTGAACTACTATTTCATGAATTTATATCAATAAGTTTGGTATCAAACTGCAGATTATAATTCAAATTTTAGAAACTATACATTACACAGTTTCATAATTTAAAAGTAAATATTAAAGAAAAAAGATAAAGGTCAATTTGTGTGTGTTACGTGGTATGTTGAATGCAGCACTGGTTCAAATTAGATGTTTGTAAAGTCAAAATACTAAGTCTATAGTTTCATACAAATTAGAAACACAAATTACAGATATTGACAAGCTAGAATATAAAATAAGGTCTTATCTTTTCTATTTGCTAAGATATTGCTCATGTAATAAATCAAACAGTGATGCCCTGCCCACCTCTTTCCATTTTTGGAAATGCTCCCTTATATACACTTACTTCTATATATGACATGAATAACCAATCGGAAGCTCAAAATGTTCCCCTAGTGGTTTTCTCAGCCTTTCTAACGTGGTTAATGCCATTTCTTTCTTTTGAACCACATCTTAGTTACTAAGCTAGATAAATTTTGTTGAATTGATGTAATAATTTATGTTTTTTTAGTTATTCAAATGTATATATAAAACCTAAAAAAAATATTTTGTTTCATATCCTCCACATGCAAAAATGGTAAAAGCTTAGCAACCTACATCAAGCAGCAACTGAGTACAAAGGTCATAACTAGAAGAGATAATTGTTTGCTTTACTTCTTTATTTACTGTTCTATGTTTTAGGAAAAATATGTTTAAGAACTTATTTTAAAAATAGCAATAATCTATATATATATATATAATGCATAATAATTGAAATCTGATTGTATTTTACAAAATACAGCCAAAACAACTCACTTTGTACAGACCAAAGATCAGTTATATGTTATTTGATATGATAACATGAGTGCATGTGATCCGCATCATTGTAATTTCTATATTGTTGGCCAGGCACAGGTGAAAGGTCAATATAATAAAAATTATAAATATATACAAATGTATAGTGTTGAGATTTAAGCTATTTTGTCTAACCAGTTATGTTTTCATGTTATAATTTGTGTTCATTCTAGAATGAAAGAGGCATAATTTATGTTTATTTTCCTGATTTTTTATGGTGGTTGAAAGATCGGTCAAATCTACCGAACTCGTACAGAGATTAATTACTGAAAATAACAGAAAAAATATAAAGTTTTTTCTTAAGAAACATTTGATAACTATCCGGACATTATAAAGATTTCACATATGAAGTTTCAAAATTTTCTGATGCATAAAAGTATTTTTAATCTTTAAAATGAAAATTACTTTGCATGATAGATAGGCAACATGTGAAAAGAAAAAAAAAGGCATGAGAAAAACATTGCTTTATAAACATTACGACATAATAAAAAAATGAGATATTTTGCATATGAAAGCATTGTAATGTTTACTGATAATCTGTCAAATTTTGTTAACATTTGCTTACTAATTTAAAAGTTATAGCATGAAAAACCATAAAAAGAACAAAATGGTTGCAAGGTCGTCACATTGACCAACCCCTTATTGAAAGAGTTAACAGCAAGTTGTTTAACACACTTGGTCAAAGTAGAGGGATTCCAAAGGAGGAAGAGAAAATGTCAACTGCCTCTAACTAAGGCTTTGCAAGCAAGGTAGCAGCATGCTGCTTGCACAGTAGGAAGGAGATGATTGAAGGTGTGAAGAATCATACAGTCCAAGTTTTGTGGAGGATGTAGTGTTCCAGAAGTAAACTCAACCCAAAATAAGAGTGAAGGAGGTGTTTAGAGTCAAACATAAGAATGCTATCTTCCACAAGTGAGAAGACAAAAATACATCTTAAGAGAAAGATAATACAGGGAGCAGGTGGCCAAATGTTTGAACAGAGGTTTCCATCTGGAAGCAAAAGATGATGACCAATTAGAAAGGTTCTGAAGAAGTCTGTAAGAACTGAAGGAAGAAAACAAAAATGGCCAGGTAAAAGATGGATAGACTGCTCTTAAAGGACAGGTAAAATGGAAGTGAAATGAGGGAAACTTCAGGCAACCTGGAAGAAGGGATTGGCAGATAGACCAGTGAAAAAAAAACACCCACTTGTTCAGAAAAATTGTAAGGGTAGATGGCCAGCAAGAGTGGAACAAAAAATAGGCAAATCTGCAAAAAAAACAACAACTCCCATCTTGCAAGAGATCAGACAAAATCTATGCATAATGATGAAGCTTTTGCACATCATGGTGAAACATGAACATTCAAGGCTTACATAAGAGGGAACTCCAAGATGGAAAGGGTAATGGCTCCTGGATCTCTATGAGGCAAAAAAAAAAAAGCAGAAACCATGACTGATCTGGTCTAACAGGGTGACCAAAAGAGTGGAAGTTTGGTGTTAAGAGATATATTGATAAGAGGCCACTCACAGAAGAAGCAACTTTGCTAAAACATAACAGGTTGTGAAGACCACTCTGTTGGAAGGATTCAGTTAGAGAAGATAGCTGATCTGCCATTAAGTTCAAAGTTCCCAGAACATGGCAGGTTGACAACTTGATGATGTGATCATGGACCCAGAAAAGAGCTGTAGAACAAAAAAGTAGAGGCATCAAGAGTGAGAACCTCCCTGTTGACTGACATTAGAAGTAACAATGGAATTGTCTGAATGGATCATAACAAGTTGTTCAGACAGATGTGACAGAATATGGTGTCAAGTCTGGAGAACAGCTAAAATCTTGAGGATGTTGATGTGGTGAGACCACTCACCTGGAGACGAGGATCATAACAAGTTGTTCAGACAGATGTGACAGAAGATGGTGTCAGGCCTGGAGAACAGTCAAAATCTTGAGGATGTTGATGTGGAAATTATGAAAATGTCCAAAAACCATATCCCTCCCTAGCAAAGAGAAAGAAGGATGCCCAGAGCAGTAGAGGAACAAGCAAGCCACCATGAGAGTGAGAGGTGAAGAGATGAAGGAAGAGAAATGAAAGAAGTCAGTGAGACACTGGGCATATTCCACTAACCTGATAGCCACTGATGAGGAAGTAAATGGTATGTCAATAGAATCAAAAACTTCAAACTAAACCAAGAAAATATATTAGTTTCTTTCGACACAAAACCTCAATTTACCTGTATACCTGTAGAACAAGCCTTACACTGTCTAAGAGAAAAACTAGAAGACAATCCTGTAACAGAACACCTTATCAACCTCACAGAACACTGGTTAAACAACACTTATTTCCCATATGAAGGCCACACCCCAAAATATCTGGTTAAGATACATAAACAATATCTTCAGTATATGATGACATGGGGAAGATATGCTACGTAGTTTCATTGATCCAATGTCATAATTTATACAGATGAAATAGACTTCAATAGTTATCTTCCCTTTTTAGATGTGAATGTAAGAGAGAAAATAACAAAGTTCCCACCAGTATATACAGAAAAATCCATTCTGTCACCATGCCACCACACATAAGTTCTAATCACCATCTATCACAGAAAATATCCTCCTCCTTCACCTACGTAAGTCGTGCTACACAAAGAAGACTTACTTATTGAACTGAATACTTAAATAACATAGCACTATCTAGAGGTTTCAACCCAAACATCATATATAGAGCTTGTATCAAACTGCAAAACTGTAAAAAATATGTTAACTTTCTAGCCTTTCACCTATCAACAACATAAAACATAGCAACTTTGTTTCATTTTCTGATGTGCCAGAAATTGTTAATGAAATTACTAGCCTATTTAATAATTTAAGCATTGATGTAAAAAACTGTATTCAAACCTTCATAGAAAAGCAACACCTTACTACATAACCCAAAAGAATCCCTACTAAAGGAACAAAAACAAGGCATTTATAATAAATCATGTGAATGTGGAAAGAAATACCAGGACAAATGTCACATTTCTTAGAAATAAGATGCAAAAAATTATGGTCACATGCATAGAGGTGAATTCCAGCTATTTGCTTTAATATATCATCAATATGAAATGGGTAACAAAATAGTTTGGAATATAATTCTTCTCCTACACCAACCCAAAACTGAAAAAGAAAGAGACTGTTTAGAAAATACAGAAATCATCAAAGCAAACGACCTCTCACTAAAACCACGATAATTGTCCTAGCAACATCAGCCATAGTTGGCAAAGTATTTTCAGTATTCATAAACTTGACCAGACTTGACCTTTACCTACATACAGTCACCTCCTGACACTACTTCCATCACATTTAATACCTGTCTTTTGTCTTTATAATGATATGTAAACCTTGTAATATTTAGTACTGATCATACCTGAAAAAGACAGACCAATGTTCTGTTGAAACATAAGAGTACATTCCACCATCAATAAAATTCTTCCTTATATTTATAACTCATTGTTTGCTTACTTTTTATTATATTAACATAATGTGCTTCCTTACTCAAGTTCCTATTAATTAATCTAACAACTATGAAACCAAGAAATGACTATGTTGTTTAGGTTAGGGATAATAGTACCTGTTACATTAATCTACCATCTATGAAATCCAAGAAATGACTGTTGTTTAGGTCAGAGATAATAGTACCTGTTACATTAATCTACCATCTATGAAACCAAGAAATTACTATGTTGTTTAGGTCATGGATAATAGTACCTGTTACATTAATCTACCATCTATGAAACCAAGAAATTACTATGTTGTTTAGGTCATGGATAATAGTACCTGTTACATTAATCTAACAACTATGAAAACCAAGAAATTACTGTTGTTTAGGTCATGGATAATAGTACCTGTTACATTAATCTACCATCTATGAAACCAAGAAATGACTATGTTGTTTAGGTCAGGGACAATAGTACCTGTTACATTAATCTACCATATAAGAAAACCAAGAAATATATTGGGTATATCTTCACAAAATTTGGTAGTCTTTCACATACAAAACGTCATATTTCTTAGTGAAGTATTTTAAATAAAGTATAATAAGATTTGTCCATGAATATATTGAGTATTTGTTTTGAATAGTCCATGTGCAAAGTAATTTTCATGTTAAAATTAAAAATACTTTTTGTCATCTTAAAAAATCTTAAATTTCCTTTGTGTAATCCCTAAAACCTCCTAAATGCATTTCAAACGTTTTTTTTTAGCCAAACTTTATAACTTATCTGTTATTTTCTCTACCCTATCTCAAAACAAGAATGGTCAATTCGACCGCATTCGTAACCACCAAAAAAAAATCAAAAATCAAAATAAACCTAAATTAACCTTTTTTGCTTTCTAGAATGACTTCAAATTGTAACATGAAATTTGTTTATCCCAAGTAGCTCTAAGATCGTAACGTTATACATCTAGTTATAAATAAATTTTATTGTTTTATTGCCCTTTGAACCATGTTTAACTACTATCCGTGCCATTCTAAGTTGTAACTCACTCGGGGAACATGCAGGTCACATTATGCTATCGAATTACATTACACATGAGCTGCTTGCATGTGTGCTTCATGAACCATTTTAATTATATTATTATTATTACTTATTTTACCTAATCTAGTCTTAAATAACTTTAGTTACTTTTATAATAATAAATAAAGAATAAATATGAAAAACAAGAAAAAAATAACTTAACAAATCTTGGTTTTTCTTACCCTCGATTGTGGAGGACAGTTAAGCCTGATTTTTTTATAGTAATTATAGTAATGCACTTAACAATATTTATTTAATTAAATAATGTACCAAAGAATATAGACTAATAACATGCAAAAAGTAGACAAATTCACTTACCTCTCAAAATTTTCCTGGCTTTCTAACTATGTGACAAGAGCCATTACATATTCATCCAGACTATTCGTTAACTTCCCATGAGAACGTATCTTGTACTGTGAGTGAAACTGACAATATTCTGTTCAGAATACAATGTTATACAATACGTCATTTAATCGATGAAAACCTTGACTTTCTATTGGTTATAGGTAATATATAACGAAACATAAAAGAGAACTATCAATGAATTGTGAAAGAGAGAATGTGGCAGGAAGGGTCTGATTTTCTATTTGATAGCTCTGTAATCAAACAAAATTGAAGGCTATAAAAAATTATGGTTTGTTTGAGCAATAACGATTTTATAGAGAGTATTTTATGTTTAATTTCATACATTTTCTAAGGGTGATGGATAAAATTGGAATAATGACATGCTATGACAAAATGTGTCATGTGGGTCACACTAGTGGAAATTCAGGATTTAAAATACTTGCTTGTAGAATTACGAATATAAACTTGTATACTATTAAAATATGGATAATTAGCTATGATTTTATGCTATTCTAATTGGTATAACATAAAAAAAAATTAGTTTAATAAAATTTTGAATGTAAGACACTAAAAAACCTTGTGTCATGCGCAGTAAAGGGTACCCGGGGCAATAGGGTTAATCTATCATCTAATAAAACCAAGAAGTTACTATAATGTTTAGGTCAGAGATAAATAGTATCTGTTACATTAGCCTTTCATCTAATAAACTGATGAAAGGTATAACATATATTTATCAATAACACTAATATTTTTTTAAATATCATATCTGCTCTATTTTGTATAACAATCATATTTTATTAATAATCAAATGCTGAAAAGATAAAAAATGTCATTAATTTAGTTGAATAATTTTAACTTAGTGCATAACAATATGACTAATAATATTATTTGATGCTTGAAATAACAATGTTCATCAACAATTAGGTAAAAATAAAAGATTGAGGCTTTAGTAACATAAAGAGTAAATATTATCCTGTTTCAGATCTCACCTTGAGCACCTTTGCCATAGGAACGAGCAGGTTTCAACTCCCTTTCAGCCTTAGCATACTTTGCTGCTGATACCATTTTCATGCTCTGAGTGATCTTCTGAATATTTCGTACAGACTTAAGTCGCATTTGAAACTAAAAAAAAAAAAAGAGATAAATACAAGTTACAGTAAGAACATTAGCTTCATTACAAGTTATATATATAAAATATATACACTACAGTATTGAGATCTTGTATTTCTACTTTAATAAACATATAACAGCATGAAGCTTGTACTTAAATTTTAAGATATAATGAAAAGGAAAAATGACATCCATTATTTCTGATGATCAACAACTTTAAATATGCATTACAGGAACAAAAATATTAATGGATCCAAAAGGAGAGTAAGTGTGAAAGATACATAATAAACAACTTTTTAATTGTAATTCTGCTTGTAGAAATTAGTGGACTGTATGCAATAAAGCTTACAAACTTAAACTTCTCTTGCATTCATGGCTTCTTTTGTTTTGATTTCAATTGTGATATAAATTGTTTTATCTTTTTATTACTTGGGTAATTCACGTCATTGTTATCTTTAGTATGTACTTCCTTGAATCTTGCCAATCCCATCATCGGAGTAATCTGGAAGTTGGCCTCATGTACAAGATGCTTGATCATAGCTGCAAACGGATTCTGAATGGCTCCTAGGGCAATACTATAAGTGTCATGCTTTTTGAACTTTGCTGTCAAAGTAGTGATATACTGCCACACTTCTGTTTCAGTCAAGTCTATCTGGAAACTCAGCATGAAGTCTCTCAAACATTCGCCCAGACCTTACTTTGTTTCTTTTATCCTCAATACCTTTCACAAATGTAGCCTCAATTTTTGTCTTGAAAGATTTTTTTTTTTTTTCATACACTTCTCCATGCCTTGGGTGCTGCATCCAACCAGCATTAAACTCTTCAGGCATAAAATCATCCGTATTATCCTCATTTAGTGCAGAATTCCTGATTCATGCTTTGTATCAATAAAATCAACACAACCAACTCTACTGCATACTTAAGGCCAATGGTTATCATATCTTTGCTACTCCCAGCACCTTTGCATTTGTGCCTTTCCTTTGTTTTTACTGAAAGAAAGCACCACTGACATACTTGGCAGGCGGTTTCATCCTCTACATCATCATTTTGAAAAGTGTTGAGAGCATCTATTCTAGCTTCTTTATCGCATACTTTCTGCTTATCATTATTTCCATGCCAGTGGTATTCAAAGCTTGTTGAATTTGGTGAAGGAACAAAGCTACAGGAAGTCAATGATCCACAAAAGCAAACTATTTGAAGTAAATTCATCATCATACACCTCATCAACCACTGTCTCTTCATTTTCTTCTTGTACAACGACATCTCTTTCTGCATTTTCTTTCTTCATCATCTGAAGAATTTTTGCCTTTTTCCACATTTTCAACAGTTCCAAGAAGACCAAAAATGTTTCCATTAATACTGCTCTGTTCCACAACCGTAAACAGATGTTGTAAGTCTCTTATATCAGTCCTGATGTAGTTATGACCCGAATATTCGAAAACATGAAGCTCATTATCAACAAATTTTGCTTCATTAAAATGTTTAAGATGGCTAAAAAAGAGAAAATGCATCTTTATATGAACTTTTCGGGCCATCGACAACATCTCGCTACAACGTAAAAAGGAAAACCAGTACTCTTCAAACCATTATCATTCTGCAATGCATGAAATAGTTCCTTTAGGGAGATTATGTTGTACCCCATATTCACAAAAGCTGTAAATGCATTCCTTGAAACTGCAAAATGCCCATCGATGCATCCTTTGCCACCTTTGGGTCTGAGTGTGCACAAAAGATTTCAACTGAACATAATGCTTTGCATGAATTAAAAGCATACATAATAATAGCATTCTATTCTGTTAACATTTTGCATTGTCTGACTGAATGTAAATTTTTGTAATATGAGGTGTCATGTTTCATCTGTATCATAATACCCTCATAAATTGAAAGAACTGCAAACCAGTCATGCTTTGTATCCCAGGATTATATGTGATCATAATAGTTGATTGAATATCCAGGAACATCATCTCTGTCTCCATTATCATTTCCATCATTCATACATCTTCGTTCACTTCTAGTGTATACCATGGTTCTTTCTGTAGTGTTCAAGTGTCTTCTCTTGAAAGTATAGTGGCTCATATTTCAGGTTGTAGTCCATTACTCATCTGCTTGAAAGGTTTCATGTATTTGAGCAATACAATCCTGCTGGTTTTTTACTCTCACTCGATGGTTCAAATACAACTTGAACTTCAATCTACAGCCATCTACAAGGGAATGGTGATCAAAACTCAATTTCTTTTTCAAAGAATGATCAATTTTGAATGGGATTTAACAAGAACTGCAAAACCCATGAGAACTGCCACTTGAATTGCTACTCAAACCATAATCAATATCATGACTTGTGCAATTGTCTATACTAATATGCTGGTCAAACCCATATTTGAGAAAATGCTCAATCACTTCCAGAGATTTTATTGCAATTTCTTTCACATTTTGATTGTGAATGGTATCAACTATTTGCTGGAAAAGCACAACATTATCACAGAGAAGAATCCCAAAAGCATAATCCATGGCCTTTCTAGCCTTTTGGTCAAATGATGCAAGACATCTGAATAATTTTGCAAATGACACATATGAAATTTTATTAGGCACAGTCTCTAGATAATCCCTATATATATACTCCTTTATTCTCTTATGACAAAATCACGGTAAACTCAGATCCTTTCCATCAATTGTAATCTTTTGCATTCTCCATGATAAAGTTTTGATATTTTGAGGTGACAGGATAAATTCAACAGCCTTTTAAAGAATTGATAAGATATATCGCTGAACTTGACAGATAGGTGGTTTAATCTCTATTCTCTTCATTAATGTCCAACAGTTCCTTCTAGCCGATTTAAAGTTTTTCTTGCCAAAGGAAGGAATCAATTCCTGCATCTGCTTGAACTTTAAGCCAGCAGAGATGGCTGCAAGAAGAACTTTTCTCTGTAAACACCATTCTGGCAGAGATGCTTGCATCTTTATCATGTCCTTTGTGCAACCAGGTTTTTCACAATTGAGAATTCTTTGAGCTACAGTCCTCATCAATTCTTCTGGATCTTGAAGCAAAGTTGCATAACAAGCTTGGAAAAGTACATGAGTGGCCCTATTTGAGTCTAGCAACTCAAAAGATGTAGCATTTTTCATTGCTCTTCACTTTCAAGGTTGTTCATCATACTTGCACCCAAACCAATGATGTTTCAAGTGTCATGAATGGTCATGTTACCATTTTTGGACATACCATGGGTTTTGTTTTGGACCTTTTTTTTCTCTAACTTCAGTTGGATTCTCCACTTCCAGAACCACATAAAGCAAGTCATCATTTGGCTCCATGTAGCTAACAACATTTTATTTATGTTTTCCCAATCATAAAGGGTTAGCTGGTTGCTTCCCACATGGTTTCCTTACTAACTTTGTTTCCGGAGACAGTCAGTCACAGGAATAACCACAATGACTACAAGCTAAACAAACTATGCATATGGGCCATTTACATATCTTTGGACCATTCATCCTGTGATCAATTAAAGGTACAGCAAGTGCCTTAAACCTTAATAGTCAAGCATTCAGAAAGATTAACATAAATGATGTCAATCGACACAAATTTAATCTGTAAGTTATACAATTCAGTGTAACAAATGTACGTATCAAAAAATATCTCGACAAGATGTGTATGACAAAGAGATTGTGTAAATCAATGCCTTTTAGTGTGAAGACCCAGCTTGTAAAACTTTAAAAACTCGGACAAAAGCCGCAATGGGTTAGAAATATCTCGTCACCAGAAAAAGAGTACCCCTGGCTCATGACGTGCATGTTAAATAAGTTATAACTTCTTTTCTGAAAAACTCAAGAGGAATTTCACCACATGCTTTAGGTAAAGGTCGTATCAGTTTTCCAAGCATACCTTAAACTAGGTTTGAACATTACATGAAAAGTATATGAAGATAAACCTACTCGTGAAAGTAAGGCAATAATTTAATCAGAAACTTTTACAACTATTTATAGAACTCAAAACAATGGTTAATAATCTTGAAAATAAAAGCAACTATTCGTAAAGCTCAACAGCTGACAATTAATTCAAATAATAAACCTACTGTCTTTTAGTGTGGCCATTCCACGAACTTGCCCACTAGAAAGAAAAACAACAAAAACAGATTACAAATTAAAAGGTTAACATACAAGTTCAAAAAAACAA